AGGAGCCCCAGGTGTTCGGCCCACCAACTCAATCGCTTTGCTAACATTCTTCCTAACACTCTGATGCACATGCTCAGCAGGCACACTCCCCTGTAATTATTTCTATCATTCCTGTCTCCCTTCTTGTGTATCGGTACCATCAGTCCCACTTTCACTTTTCCATCCCACTGGTCCGCTCTGTGCTCGAACATCTTCCTCACTATCCTGATCACTCTTTCTATCACCTCCCCACACGCATTCCGTATATATCCGATTCTTACCCCATCTTCCCCCGGTGCCGACTCTCGTATCTCGTTCATAGCCTCCATGATTTCCTCCCTCTCAGGTACCTCATTCATCTTCTTGTTTGCTTCGCCCGCTCTTCTGTCTTTTCTTAAATCTACAGTTCCTTGGACCGCCTCTTCGATCACTCTCGGTTCTTCCTCGTACCTCTCCCTCGACACGTTTTCAAAATGCTCCTTGAATTCATTTGCTGTTATAGTCGTGCTCCGAGCAGCTGGTTTATCTCTCTTTCCTAACTTTTTCAAACATTTATACATTTCACCAAGTCTCCCTCTAGAACATGCTTCCTGACAGTCCTCGATCACCCCTTCCCACCAGTCTCTTTCCAATCTTCTCAACAACTTCTTAAGTTCCTTCCGCATTTCCTTCACCTCCGCTTTTAGTCTGGTGAGCTCTTCTTCCAGCTCCCCCACTCCTCTCCCTTCTCCTCTCACTCTCAGCCGTTTTCTCGCATTCAGTGTCTCCGCTCTCTTGTTCCTTCTGTGTACCCTCTCCCGTATCTTCTTCTTCATCTCTTCTATCTCCTCCTCTCTCCCTACCGTCCATGGGTTAGATATTTCCTTTCTCTCCCTTCCACATACCTCCACAGCTGTTTCCACCATTATATTCGCCAACTCCGTCCACCCGCTCTCCTTTCCCCGTCCTTCCCTGCTCAACTCCTCCAGTTTCTCTCTCCTTTCCCAGTCCTTCCCTGCTCAACTCCTCCAGTTTCTCTCTTGTCCTCCTCTCATATTCTCTTTTCTTCTCCTCCTCCTTTAATATCTCCCACTTCGCTCGTACCACCCTCCTCTGGATCTTCTCTTCTGTTCTCCATTAGAACAAAGAGTCATGTTTGACATGTTCTAAAAGGTCATCATCATCATCATCATCATCTGCCCCAACTATTTCACGCTGACTGTCAGAAATTTCAACCTCAGTTATGTCAGGAAAACTACAAAGACATGCACACGATGTACAGTAGTAACAACAATTGATCAACAAAAAGTGAAAAAATGAGCAAAATTTTTTTTTTTTAATCGGTAAAATATATGCTGAACTTTGGCATAGCGAGCTGTTGCGTTTACAACAATATAAACTGGCAATAGGCACATTTTAGTTGACTTATTCCTGGACCGTATTTCTATGTGGGAACACAGGCGTTGCATTGGATGATGAATTTGATGGTAAAAACCAAAACCAAAACATTTTCTTCAGTTTTGTAGACTGGAATGTAGAAAAGTGTACAGTTGAGTCCTATGGTAGCAGTGATCATGCACAGCATTTTTCGGCGGCCGCCTCACCACTCTGCCCTTGTCGGGGTCATAAAACCTTTCCAGCAGCTGCACGCTGGTGCTCTTTCCACAGCCGCTGCTCCCCACAAAGGCCAACGTCTGGCCGGGCCTCACTGCCACATTCAACCCATTGAGGACCTGGATGTCTGGTCGGGTCGGGTAAGTGAACTTGCAGTCAATGAACTCAATGTTCCCTTGGAAGTTATCCTGGTAGAGAAGGGTGGTGGTGGGGCAAACAAAGGGGGTGCAAAGGTTTTGTTTTGTTTGGGACTATAGTGTTCTCCGCTATACTGCATGGGTTTGATACAAATATGATTGCCGTTGTCTGCAAGAGGATCATTTAGGAGTATTTACCTCTGCCGTGGGCGAAAACAATACAGGGCAGGGTATTACTTTCATTGCAGTTTGTTCGCAGCACTACTTTATGACTACAAATTTGGATGTACCGTATTTAAGACAGCCTCTGTGAGTGAGGACTGCTCTGTAAATGATGATGATGGATTTGATGGTGCTCCTGGGAAAAGGCTGTGTATGTACTGATGGCTTGTAACACTGGAGAGCTGCTCTGCATTATACTAAGAGGTGTCACTCATGTATCTTAATACAGGAAAGCAAGCTGCAGTGAACTTCCACACTATCAAAAACCTCATTAGACATTGTGAAATGAGCATCTCTCTGACAGTGTCAATCAAAACCGAAAATTATAGTGGACAGCTAAAGTCATTGCGTTGTGACTAAGTATACTTTTTTGCAGTTATCCTTCAAGTCAAGTTAAAACTAGAGATAGGTTGGGGGGGGGGGTTCCCCACACCCCCAACAAGCAGCGTGGCATCATCGCACTCATCTCAATCTGTGCAAACATACCCATTTTTGTCCTTTGTCACTGTAGACGCTAATCTTGGGCACTCGGTCCAGCAGCTGGAAGAAGCGTGCAGCTGAAATCTTGGCCTTAGCATAGTCAGGGGTGTAGGAGGAGGCTCTGCCCAGGGCTGTGCCGCTTGTGACGATGGCAGAAATGACCCTGCACAAGATGAAACAAGTGCTCATTTTCTTCAAAGAAAAGAAGAATTCAGGGCTTTTCAGTGTAGGACGGTGAGACTCCTGTCAGAAAACTTAAAACGGTTGAGACCTCGTTTGTCTCCTCATATTGTGACAACTAAAAATGGATGAATTCAATGAACGTGAAGTTAGCTTTGCAGGTTTAGACAGATGTATGTTTTGTCAGTGGTATGTTTTTTTTTGTTTTTTTTTTTTCAGCTACTGCGCCTGCCCTGATATCCTGTGCTGCTCCTCAGTTGACACACAGCTCACACTTAGGAAACATCTGGGATGGTTTATCAGTCATTTTTTTTGTTTTCCAAAGGGTTTTCCATTGGGCTCTATTATGGTAGAGTGATACCCGTGCATACCCTTCATTTTTATGCAGGCACAAGTCCAGTCTACTGTGTTTTGGGGTCATGTTGCGCCTTTCTAGACACTCTGTTGCACGGCGCTGGCTCAGCCCTGACTCATTCAACAATTTGTTAACAAAAAGTAGTCTGTGCTCGGCGTGAAACCGGGCGCATCATCATTTTCGTACCGAAAATGATGATGAATTTGATAGATGCTCTATGTTTCCCTGGGCGTTTTGGCCGCGCACATCTACAAACACTCAACTACATTTTAGACGACAAAAATCAGATCTAACTCATGGGACAATTTGGGTGTATTTAACCGAGGCACAGGCAGACAAATTCAGCACTTCACGGGCGTGCAAGGTGGATGTCACCGGATTTCAAGAATAAATTTGACACCAGCATAGTGACAATTCATTGAGCGAATTCTAATCATTGTCTGAATTATTGAAGCAATTAATTCATTGAGTGAATTCTAATCATTGTCATTTTAAAAATAGTTTAATAGCATCCCCTCCACTATTGGGTTGAGGGGTGAGGGACAACACCAGTACGCACGATCGGTAGAGTAAGGTGGTCTCCAATTGCCCACGTCATATGCACGGCCGAAGACATCATCCGCAAGGGGAGATCTTGCAGTTTATCTGCCAATGTCATGCACGCACCCAAGCAAGTATTTCTGCTTTTGAAATGTCAAGCATGGCATACTTAGGCATACTGCGCCTACCAATCTCTCTGATTTTGATGCAAAAGTTGGAGGCCGACAGTCGGAAAAGACTACTTACATCCCACAACGGTGCACAAAGGCACAAACGCCTCATTTACGCCCAATTCTACCTGTGCAAAGTATCACAAAATATCAAATGAAAACCTCAACGATGTGTGTGTTAGACTGCGCTTTGCACTGGACTTTCACTCGACACAAAAATAGGGCCCATTGTGTCACTTACCTGAACACCAAGCTGAAATGGAGTCCCTCTTGGCGTACCAAGTAGCCCCCGAACCGATAGGATGCAGAGTTGGTCAGGAAGACAACACACTGGGCGAAACCGTAACAAGCCCCGTAGACGTTAGCCTTCTTCAGGGCTGCCTGGTATGGAGCATCCAGCTGCGCAATATATCTGTCCACAAAATTCCTCTCCTTGCCAAGACCAGCGATGGTGCGAATGTTATTGAGCGCTTCACCTGAAATCTGCAAAGTGCATCAAAGGGGTGAACGCGTGATGTGGAGTGAAAATACCACATGCAGATATTGTTGTATATTTGGCTTTCAGAACAATTTGCTTAACTTTCATATTTACAAGTACACTGAATATATAAAGGAAGTGAGTAGTCTGGTAGTGAGCCTGTTCCACACGGTGACTCCAGCACATCGCCACATGTGCAATGCAGTTATGGAGGAATACTGAAATTCAGGAGGAAACTCAGCTATTGTCACTTATGGCAAATTGTGACTTTCACTTGGAGGTCATTCCTCATTTGTCATATCAGTCAAGCTGGATGCTGACCTGTCCTGCAGCCTCCATTGCTTGTTTGTCTTGCTTGGCAAATCCAGTGAGCATCTTGGCCTGGAAACCACCTGACAGAGCGATGAAGGGTAGGAAGCACAGGATGAGCAGCGTGAGCTTCCAGCTGAAGTAGAAGGACATGAGGATGGCCACCCCAATGTTGGTCAAAGAGTTGACTATCATGCCGATCTGGGAGCCGGTGGCCTTTGAGGAAGGAAGGATGTGCAGCCTCTTGAATCATTTCTTATTGTATTGAGTTTGCCTTGCAGCTTAACCTAGACTTGATGATACACTGTACAGTACTCCAAAAATATTGGAACAGAGAGCTTAATTCATTTATTTTTTTAAGTCGCCTGAAAACATTTTAGGGTTGGCACCAACAGATTAACATGATACAGTAGATCAAAATTTCATCTTTTATTTCCAGGTCTTCGTTTGTCTTCGTTTGTTTGTTCATGCCTTACCCCTTGAACTTGCGAGGCGTCGGTCGCCAGTCGTGTGGTCAGAGCTCCGGGGCTGTTTTTGTGATCATCAAACCAGCCAATCTCTTGGCCAAGCATGGCATGAAAGCCCAGGCGACGTAACCTGCGGGTCAGCAGCTCTCCAGACTTGGAAAAGGCATAGCCCTGAAGATGCGCACACACACACACGCACGCACGCACGCACGTACGCACGCACGCACGCATGCACGCACGCACACACACACACACACACACACACACACACACACACACACACACACACACACACATAAACACAAACACATATACATATACATCCATACATCCATACTTAAAGACGTTGGCCTCAATACACGACAATTGGAGTTTGGAATAGATTCTGGAATGTGTCCGTGGCAATTTTTGTCCATTCATTACAGAGAATATTTGTGGGATCAGTAAATAATCAAAATTTAAATTGGGAGAGAGGGCCTGGCTTAATCCGTTTGGTTCTTCTGCACCGCATGGACCTTGCTTTATGCATCGAGCAAGTCATACTGGAACTGAAAAGTGTCTTCTCCAAACTGTTCCCACATACAGTATATGGAAGCAACTCATTGTTCAACATCCCTTGTGAGATCAAAAATGACTCATGGGGAACAGACGGGCCTACTCCAAGTCCTAATTTATTAGATTTCTGGCTATTTTCAATAAGAAGTAATCATTCTGAATTAAAAAAATAAACATATGGACTGGAACCTCCATCTGTAGGGAAATTCTGGGTCATGGCTGTTACTTTTGGTCTTTTATGACTTTTCTCAGGCTTGAAATAGAAGGGACACTCAAAGCAGTGTTTGCTAAAGCCAAATGTTACTTTACCTGCAGCATTTGGGTGAAGAAAGAGACAACGCCGACCATGACGAAGAACAGGCAGATGCTATCAATCTCCTTTCTTTGCGCTACGGGATCTGTAACTGAGAAAGTCTGCACACACACAAATGAAAAATCAACGGACCACTTGCCTTTTTGCCCTCTAGAAATTGATCAATCATTCTAACAGCGCTGGAAAGGACAATATTTTCTGAACAGTTTAAAACGTAGTGTAACCTCACTGCTAATATTTGACTGAATAAAAGTGAGTAGACAGGGTTGACTCCTCCATTCACAGCTGCCCCCAAAGATCCAAAAAGCATGTAAGGCCACTCTGGCACGTTGTACTTCAAGATTCTGGCAACCGGTGCTGGCTCCACTAGGTCCCCCTCCTCCTCCTCTTGAATGGCATTCTAAATATTCAGCATCACAATGTGAAGAAATGCGACAAAGCTGATAGTTGTTGGGAAAAGACAATGCATGCAATGGCCATTCACCCCCATATTTAATCAAAGGCTATCACAGCCACCCATGCACCCACCTTGGATTTGTCTACTTGAGACACAGCGTATGCTCTGGGGCCTAGCTCTCCGGCAATGGAAACAGAAGATTCTGGAATCAGGTTGGATAGCTGGGATCGGGATCTCTGGCGGATGGAGGCTCTGTCAAACAAGCGTGTATCAGCCCAAAAGTTTTAATGGCTACATTTTATTGAACTTCCTGTGCTGTTTTGTGGTTTATGAGGAATTTAATCTCAGAGGTTTTCTGCTGACTCCAGGTGAGGTTGAAATGTAAATAAAAGGTTGAAATGTATAGAGGTGCATTTGTGTTTGGTTGTCCAGCCCCACTGTGGTGAGCAGCACTTTGCACAATCAGCAGCGTGCACTCCGACAACAACAAGGGAGTCGAGACCTTTTATTTTGAATCCACAGCCAGACAAATAGACAGGGATCTCTTTGCTGTTGACAATCACTTAACTCAAAAGTCAACAGCAAATCTTCTCATAAAACACAGTCAGCTTGCCTGCAGAAAGATTCCCCAAATAAAAGTAAAATGAATTCACAGGTCACTTTCTGGTTGGTCAAGAATGATCAAAAACCTTGGGATTCGCTGAGGATTACTTGCATTCTGGAGCAGAGGCAAACAGTCCTTCTGGAACGCACACGACGAAAAGAAAACAATTTCCCTCATCTGCACCACACTTTTAATGGCTTCTCACATGCACATGTGCCACCATTCCACGAAGCTCTCTGCAAATTGGTCCTATAGTTTATACGTAATCCTGCTATCCTGGGAGGGTACGGTGCAATGCTAGGGTTGGTGTCTGTGACCCCAGTAACATGCTTTTTTTTTTCTTCTTGTACTGGACTCATGTGTAATTGCACATCCATTGCAGTAGGTGGCAGTGGCACTCATTTATTTTATTTCTTTTTACCAAAGTTACCAAAGTTATTCTTTGTAGTAATTCGATCTATATTTCTTATTTCTTTAACGTTAATAAGGATAAAGTGTTGTGCAGAAGTATACTCGCAACAATTTTATAGACAAATGATACAAATTAGAGTAGCAGGGGAGAGTTGGGGGTGTGAAATATTTTACTCTTCATTGGTGGGCGTAACAGAAAATACCAGATAAGCACTATGCTAACTACTATGACTTTTCGCGGTCAGAGGAGGGATTATCCGATTTAGAGCACAGTCAGGATTGTGACGCTGGATAAGACACACTGGTTAATTAGGACCATGTTCAAATATCGATTATGAATGATGGTCTATGTGTCAGTCCTGTGATTGATCAAGGGTGTATCTCATCTCGCATCCGAAGTAGGTTTGGATCGAATCCTGCTTCCTTGTATACCAGAACAAGCTAATTTGTATAAAAATTGGAACAGCGGTTGTGTTGTGGTACCTCATGCTGGCCCGGTAACTGCCAGCTCTTGACAGGCTGAGCTTCTCTGGTGTGTCTTCATTTTCAGCCACTGAGATCGATAAGGATTGTTGAGTAGAAGTAAAACATGTTTGCGGGAATCACGATTGTAGAACCCACTTTGCCGAGCCTTTTCATTAAGGGCCTTGTCCCCTTGGCTCTGTAAGGTGACAAGAGTGAAGTAGACGCCTTTCCTGTCCAGTAGCTCGCTGTGCTTGCCCCTCTCAATTGCCTGGCCATGCTCAAAGCCCACAATCACGTCAGCGTTCTTTATAGTGGACAGCCGATGGGCGATGGAGATGGTGGTCCGTCCCATGCGTACCTTCGGCGTCAACGGTCAAAAATGCATTAAAGGGGGGAAAAAAAGAAGCTGGGGTGGTGAAATACCAGAAACACAACCTAAAATTGTTACACATGATTGCATTATTTATCAGTATTTTGTTGACTGTGAACAGCAATTCATGAGTTCAATGTACTGTATTTCTTTGTTAATAATGCAACTTCTCCTCATCAAACCGAGAAAAAGCATGTTCCTCACAAAGTAAACTGAAAGGCACCCAACAAGAGCCATGGCGTGATCATTTTTATGTGTTGTACTGCAAATAGAAGCTGCACTCTTACTGGAAGTAATGTCAAATTACGATTGACTCTCTTTGTTTTCTTCTGATCACTATCACAGATGGACAATGGACCAGAGTTTCTCAAGCGATGATGGGGAAAAATTAGCGATCCATAAATTGATTCATGGACTCCTTCTCTGAATGTTCTGAACTCCTGTATTGATGCATTGAGAGGAATAATGCTGTCTGGAGTTGGTTGGTGATATTTGCGCAGATGTAGCTGCACTTCCCATAGCTGATGTCACGTTTCCATTCTTTGGACCCCAAGCTAGTTGAGACTGAAGTCACGACGCCGCTGCTGGCGCATACTTAATGACCACTTCCACACACTGCTGGTTCTTTTTGATGTAAATGTAGTAGACTACGATTGTTGTAAACCAATGCTGCATAAAAACACACAGTAAAGAAAGCACAGACATACTTTATCTAAGGCCTCTTGTACCACAGCCTCACTTTCGTTGTCCAATGCAGAGGTGGCCATGTCAAGCAGCAGGATGCGAGGGTTCCTGACAAGTGCCCGGGCAATTGCAATTCGCTGCTTTTGACCGCCACTCATCTGTCCACCACCCTCCCCCACTAAGGTGTCGAATTTCTGTGAAATCACAGAAAATAAGGTTAACATCACGCAGGTCCTCCAAGCGTTTATTTGATCTCCACCTGTGGCAGGTCCATTATGAAGTTGTATGCATTGGCCTCTTTGGTGGCAGTGATGATGTCATCCATTGAGACGCCAGGTCGACCATAACGTATATTCTCAGCAATGGTGGTGGCGAATAGCACAGGCTCCTGCTCCACGATGCCCATGAGCGAGCGCAGCCATTGGATGTTCAGCCCGCGGATGTCATGACCGTCCAGGGTCACCTGAGACGACAGCAGCGAGTCGAGCTAAAATTGCTGGATGATGGTGCGAAAGTACATTGGTGCTGCACACACACACACACACACACACACACACACACACACACACACACACACACACACACACACGCACACAAATACGATAGATCGTGACAACAGGAGGCTACTTCCTTCTGCAGAAGCAGGGTGCATTATAAAAGTGAGATGGCCAAATGCAGAGAAAGGGGGAAAAATTAGGCTATTTGGACCAACTGCTAGTTTATCATCCTCAGGAGATGGTTATTTTTTTAAACGACATGAACAAAGGTTGAAGAGAAAAGCAATGTTCAGTCCCTGTATGCATCAATAGGAGGTTGTGAATGTACGTCTTGATCCTACCATGCCCTCTTTGGGGTCATAGAAGCGCTGAATGAGTTGGACAGCTGTGCTTTTCCCGGCGCCGCTCGCCCCAACAAAGGCTGTGGTCTCGCCTGACTTCACTATCACACTGAGCCGGTCTAAGATCTGAACAAAGGAAGCCGCAGCAGCACAGTCAGCAGTGTACCTTCTTCAATTCATTGTAATTACAAGGAAAGAGACAACAACAGAGTCAGTCAAATACCTTAACTTCCGGCCGGGAAGGGTAATGGAATGTCACATTGTGAAATTCAATGTCGCCTTTGACTTTATCGAGTTTATATCCTGCCTCAGATAAACAGTCTATCTCAGGCTCCTGATAAAGTGAAAAACAAAACAAAACAACAACACTTGTTCAAGCCATGAGAGATCAACTTTGATGGATTTCAATATTAGAACATTTCCTACTCGTTCAATGGTTTCAAAGATGATAGTGGCAGCTCCGCGGCCTGCGGCGAATGCTTCCAGACAGGGTGATGCTTGGCCCAAATTCATGGCTGCTATCAGAACACCAAAGAAAACCTGGCAATGCAAAAAAATCCGGCAAGCCATTGTAATAGGAGGTGCCTCGTACAATATATGCAAAGTGAAAATAATGCTCAATTGCATTTGGGAAATAGTGTGCCCTAAACCAATTGCCGAAAACGTCTGAGTAAGATAAAGACTTTAAGAGTATATATCACAGCTACAGTTTTACCAAGTAAAAAGCAAACCTCATCACTGTACTGTAGCGGATATTAAAATTTAACAAGACCTTAGGGGAAATGTAATGACCCATTACAGGGATGGGCAACTTTTGTGGCTCAATGTTTTATCCATTCCCCTCAAGTACCAGTAATAGGGGAGGTTTTTTTTTTTTTTTTTTTTTTTTTTAATGAGCCGCGCAGCAAAAATATAAGTTAAAAACGATTAATAGTTACGACTGGAAATGCATGCATCACATTGACTTCCTTTACAAGTCCATAATGCTTCAATCCATGAATTACCGGTAACTTAAATGAACATACTAAAAGTTATTTAATTAATTTTAAATGACTCATCATATTCTTCAAATAAAGTGTCACTAACTCTAGTAGAGAGGACTATGGGGATACGTTATTGTTATGTTGTTTTGTGTCAACATTAACGTCCTCGCAAGCTGTTTGCTGTTACAGCAGATCAATTTGTCTTTGTGCATGGTATCGTTGTGTCGATTCATCTAAAAAAACATTAACAGTTAATTACAACACCAGGCAACTTCACACTAGCCCTAATGGTAAAATCAGCTTCATTCTTTTTTTTTTTTTTTTTTTTTTTTTGCCTGTGCCTAACCCGTTAGTTTGGGAGTAGGGATGCATCAAAAATTCAGTCACCCAAAGTTTTCACAAAAGTGGGCCAAAAGTGCAATTTCGGTTTCGGACTGAAATACTTTTCACCAAATTCCTACAGCTGAAATAGGACGCTCTGATAACACTGCAAAAGTTTTCCATTGCCTCTGCAGCCGTCCGTTGGCCAGACGTGAGAAGGTTGCCTGCCCACTAAAGACTCAATTTCCAGCGACTGCAGTGATGCCATGTGTTCCGCTATTCCGGGGAAGTTGACAATATTCCAGAGAGGACCAGATGACATGCGCAGTCGATTGATTAACTTGGAGTTTGCAAGCGAGTCCAAAAATTCCGTGGCTTGTGATTGGCTGACATTAGATTTGGACAAAAAAAAAAACCCTCAAAACTTTGTATTGACGTCATTGCACTTTCCCGCACAATGTATGAAACTAGTTTGGCAGCTTTGCAGCTGTGGCTGACTGCTTTTCTAAAAGTCATTAATCATCGCCTCCATGGCGGTGAATCAAGTATCCTTAACCTGAACGGAAGCTGTGTAACAAAAGTAACAGAAGATGCTAAACCGCCGCTAAGTAATCCATCCATCAATCCAGCCATTTTCCGATCCGCTTTATCCTCACAAGGGTCGCGGGGGTGCTGGAGCCTATCCCAGGTCTCTTCGGGCAGTAGGCAAGGGACACCCTGAACCGGTTGTCAGCCAATCGCAGACACACAGAGACGAACAACCATCCGCATTCACACTCACACCTAGGGACAATTTCTGAGCGTTCAATCAGCCTGCCATGCATGTTTTTGGAATGTGGGAGGAAACCGGAGTACCCGGAGAAAACCCACAAGGCACGGGGGGAACATGAAAACTCCACACAGGTAGATCATAGCCCAGAATCGCACTTCTGCACTGTGAGGTCGACGCACTAACCACTGGACCACCAGACCACCCGAATATATTTATGAAAAGTAAATTAAACATTTATATGTTCTCAAAGTTACAGAACATCTTATATGACCAATTTTACAATAATTTGCTAATCGAACATGCAGCCTGATATTTCTTGTAATGTCTCATTCTGTAAACAAAACTAGATTGAGCAATTAAGGGTCAAGATATCATATTAAATACATAACTGAATTTTAAAAAAACCCACCAAAGATGGCAATATTTTGTCATTTGATACTATTCCAATGAAGAAAATCTAATAAAAATGTAATAACATAAGGAAAATATTCATGGAAATATGAATGGAGTCATATGTTTGTTGTTTTGGTTGAAATGCACATTTTCCAGAAGAATTTAAATATTCTGAATGTTCCTGTGCAGTCATGCTAGGGCTTGACATCGTGGCCATCGCTCAGATGGAACCAGAAAGCTAAGACTTAAACAAATTTGAAGTCAACGATTCAACTGATGTTTACAGCGTTGTTTTTTTTTTTTTTGTCTTTGTTTTGTTTTTAGAGCCTCGGGTTCCTCATTTTGGCTTCAGCCAAGAATTGTCATTTCAGAGTACTTGAGGGCAAAGGTGACGATGAAACATGTCCACAAGCTGCATATTCTCATAGGTTGGCATGGGAAGGTGTTACCTGCAGAAGTGTCCCCGGTGAATATTCCTCCGTGTCCACCACAAGACTGGAGCCATACCAGAAAGCCAGGCCGTAGCACAGGAAGATAATCAGCCACATGTATCCAGTGAAAAATCCCATGATCAAACCCTTTCTGATGCCCCAGCGCTGAGCTGACACTAGGTTCTTGTCATACCTGGAGGGAACAGGAGTAGTTTACTCGACAACTTAACACATAACATCCAGCCATGAAGTTTCTAAAAAAAAACAGGGGGACATATGTCGGTGAGCTGGAGAACTTTCCCTGCTGACCACGGTGAAAAATGGCGTACGCCCTGGACTGGTTGTCAAAAAAATCACAGGGGGCAAGGTTATTACAGGTAATGAAAAGGAAATAACAACAATTAAAATTTAAAAAAAAAAAAAAAAGATTTTTTTGAACTAAATAAAATAAAAATGAATGTTTTTTTAAAATATGAAAGCAAATCAAACTATATCTGAAGTTTGTAAAACCAAACTAAAACTAGCTACTCTATACTGTTTGTCAAAAATGGATCACATTGTTGCATTATTGTACGTGAGCTCTCGGGTTTCATTTTAAATGGATTTATTTGGGTATCCATACAGAAGAAAGAAGTTCATTTTATAAATTGTAGTTTATTATATTACAAAATGTTTAATCTTGCACTCTACAAATTCCTCATATACTGTGTTCCAAAAAAATAATAAACCTAATATTAAAACTAGTATAACCTCAACTGCAGCACAGCATTTTTGACAAAATAAAAACAAACAAACATGCTCTAAAAATGTCAACACGAAATGAAGAATAACTACAATGAAAAATCCAAAGCTAACCTTCAGGGCATGTCGAGACTACCATTCACACTGACACCTGTGGACAATTTAAGTCTTGAATGAACCTAACATTTTTGGACACGTCTTTTGGGGTGTAGAGTAGCCAGAGAGAACGGACGCAAGCACAAGCAGAACATGAAAACTCTCCACAGGTAGACCAGAAGTGCGATGCAAACCTCAAACTTTAGATCTGTTAACCAGACTTGCTGAATAAGAAGCTCCCATGCTGCCATGTTAACTTAACATTCTTAAATATTTATGTGAACTGAATGAAAAAAAAAGACTTTTGTTTTCATTCTTATTTTCATGAGCGGAACTCAAAAGGTCAACAACTTTTCAATGTACTGTCCCAAATGGGCTTTCAAACATTGTTCACAAATATGTTTACATCCTTATCCATGCATGAACACTCTTCCTTTGCTGAGATAATCCACCCACCTCACAGGTGTGTGCGTCATGTGTCTTGTGGTCATGATGTCTCTGAAGCACTGATGAAAGGAAACTTTGAGTCTCTCCTCTTTCATCTATAACCGCTTTTAACAACAAGGCATATGTATTGCTAGATATGATGGTATTATTGTCTGTGCCTAATGTTATGTGTTCCCTTGTATTATTGTTATTTCGTGTTAAATGGTCTAGAAAGCACTTTGTTGCAGCTGCAGCTGTTGTGAAAACTTATATCAATCAAGATGTATTGTATAGTTGTGCCTAAGGCTGCCCTCAATGAAAGGCCACTAAAAATGTACTATTTAACAAACAGCACAATACCACAGATATGATGAGTTTTGAGGGAGCATGCCATTGGCCGGAAAGTACAACCACACTCTTGCCCCAGAACTGAATTGATTTACCATAAGTTGTCTCCAAAGGTGTTTCGGGCAATTTGGCAGTTCACCTAATCGGCCTGATACATAGGGGGACTAAGAAAATAATGTATAAATATTTTAGAATATCAAATAAAAGGCTGAAGGGGCTCTACTGGGGCTACACAGATTTCTGACGTTGCTATTGCCTCTCCATCTTCCCAACCCCCTCACACTCCATTCATACAGCTAAAGTCCTTTTCATCTGACCTCCACCCAGTCACTTCAGGGCTCTGTCCCGGGGCCCCTGCTTTTCATCATCTACCTCATCCCCCTCGATAACATTTTCCATAAATGTAATATCCTCTTTCATTGCTGCACAGATGACACCCAGTTCTATGGCGCCTCCAAACCCAGCATTTAATGTCCTACCTCCTCCCTTGCTTCCTCGACAAAGGTGATTTTACAGGTTGGCGAGGGGTGGCAGCTGTCATCTTTAGGAAATACCTTGACCCACCCCAGTTGCCACCCCTACCATTGGCAATGAATCTATCAATGCTGAATTCAAAATTGTATTATGATTGTCCCTTGTAATGTCTCCATTGTGTGCATAAAAAATGTGTTTGGATTTTACTCCCTACCTAACCCATCATAACGTCACACCGTCCTCCACCCCACGACAACAAATAACATTCATGACAAAGTACGTTACAATACGCTGTATTGTTACAGTGCTCATTTGTTCTCGTCTTTCAGGTTTTTTTTCAGTTTCAGGATGAATACAACATTTTGATTTTGTCACTCAATTTAGTGCTTTTAAATTTGATATACTAGTGAAGCAAATGTTTTGGATAAATAAAGGTTACATAATAATAAAATAAAACCCAAAACAAGTGTTTATTTTAGTTTTCTTTCGCACTGTTTTTTTTTTTCAAATTTTACTCATCTGATTTCAATGTAGAAGACATTGCTTAATACCTAAGAGTGAAATATGTTTAAAAATATTTTTTTCATGTATTGATAGATACATTGTATCTAAAGTGCAAGTCTACAAAGTTTATACCTTGGGTGGACAATTCCAGTGCTGCAACACAAATGATTCAAATGAACAGATAATCAGCATGGTCTGCGGAAGCTGGATCACGATCCTGATCATATGAATTACGGTAGTTGTGTTGCAGAAGGGAGACGTCTAAAACAACCAGGAAATAAAACATCCGCATTGCTTCATCTTAAAAATATCCTTCCTCGCTTCCATGATCTATGTTGATCTATTATTATCTGTTATCGATGTTGCGTACGATGTAAATCTTTGGCTCCGATCAGAGATGCATGAGTGAAACACAAATACAGGTTTATGTCACGTCATTTTCTAAACCGCAGATCCTCAACAATGTGGCGGGGGTGCTGGAGCCTATCTCAGCTCACTACGAGCAAAATGTAGACTACACCCTGAACTGGTCGCCAGACAGTCACAGGGAACACACAAAGGACAATCATTCACACTCACATCGTCACAAAGTGGGAACTGATCCCATGCTGCCCACACACGTCAGGTGAGTGCACCACTACGCCATCAATGACTAAAAATAACATTCGGACCTGATTAAAAAGATAAAAGGGCATTGGGAATTTTGAGTATAGAGTGATTTTGTTAATTATATCGATCCTATCAATCGATAACAATCAATAATAAAAATGAGGTGTCGATAATGTGCACCAGTCCAGTGTCTATCGATGTAGCTCGTTCGTGGGGCAGACACATCAATACTTTAACACCCCTAATAGAGCAGCTGGAGCGATATGCTGCGATTTAGAAGATCTAATTAGTCAACTAATTGCAACTACTATCTGTGACTAGTCGACAAGCAAAATAATTGCTTGAGAATATTTATTGTATAGCCAACACAGACTGGGTTAGGGTTCAATTTTCACGTGACAGACATAAAACTTGCCAAGTAATGCAGAAAATTAAACCAGAATTACAAACGTGTGTGTGCATACATGTGTTTGCGTTTGTGTGTGTGTGTGTGTGTGTGTGTGTGTGTGTGTGTGTGTGTGTGTGTGTGTGCATGTGAGAAAGCATGTTTGCATTTGTGTGCGTGTGGGAGGGTTATAACCTGCGGCCTTCCAATTAAAACACCTGACAGCCCCTTGAAACTTCAGATAAAACAGCTACAATCGCCAGTGCTCCTGCTTATCAGAAATAAAGGTCAGGTTTAGCTTTTATTTCATGAAAGGTAAAGAGTGACAAAACACAAGTTCTCCTTTTTGGTACTAAAACTACATTAACCATAGTTGACAATTTCTCCATTTCAGTTGCATGTTCTCCCTGGGCCTGTGTGGGTTTTCTCCGGGTACTCCGGTTTCGTCCCACATTCCAAAATCATGCGTGGCAGGTTAATGGAACACTCTAAATTGCCCCTAGGTGTGAGTGTGAGCGTGGATGGTTGTTCGTCTTTGTGTGCCATGCAATTGGCTGGCAACCGCCTCCTGCCCGAAGACATCTCGGACAGACTCCAGCACGCCCGCGACCTTTGTGAGGATAAGTGGATAAGAAAATGGATGGATGGATGGATGAATGGAGACGTTTAGCCTTTTACAAACGGGGGACACGTCTATTTGTCAGTGAGTCTCGGCCATCGCCATGGCATCACAAACAGCAACAAACAGGAATGAATGACTCAGCTGCGTCTATCGTACAAGTTAGTGCAACACACCAACAAGGAGTTGCTGCCTTATTTATTCTAAAACTTGCTCATAAATCTCTCCCCGTTCAGAGAATGACTTATTATTGCAGAGGCTGTTTGTCTTGTGTGGCCTGCGATTGGCTGGCAACCAGTTCAAGGTTTACCCCGCCGACTGCCCGAAGACGGCTGGGATGGGCTCCAGCAGGCCCACAACCCTTGTGAGGATAAGCGGAGTAGACAATGAATGGATGGATGGATGAATGGATGGATGGATGGAAGACAGATAAAAATTGACCTTTTATGTACCGGTACTGCACATGGAATCATCAAAAATATGACCCCAAAAATGTTGCATTTACATTTTTGTTCAGCATGTGATTGCATACCGTTGCACTTCTTTTTTCTCTCCGCCAAAAGCAGCCACCGTCCTAATCGAGGAGAGGACTTCGTCTGCAATGGCTCCAGCTTTAGCATAGGCCTGAAGCTCCATGCCTGTCAGCTTAGCCACAAACTGAACCCAAAACATAAGCAAAGAAATCAAGTGATGTTGAGCCGAGCCTTTCTCAAGAATCCACATTTCCACCAAGTACATTTCAGTTCAATACAGTACAGCTGGGAAAGGTAAATTCAGACCTTTGTGTTCCCGTTGCAGTGTGCATGCAAAATGGTGGTAACAGCAACAACAGTGGGAATAGTTTGACACAGTAGCAGTGTGATTCATTCCTTAAGGAGAAACCGGGCACACTACAACTGCACGGTAGATGAAGAAGAAACAAGTCTTCACCTATAATCTTTTTCAGATGGATTGTTTTGTGTTTGACACTTCCCATTCCTATTCTGTCACCTAAGTGAGGATTCTTTGCCCAAGATTCAATGATCAGTGTTGTTCCAAATCGAAATCCAAATATAAGGATATCAAAAACTGCTACGGTACTGTGATGAAAATGTATTACATTGGTACCCTTACAACTTTTGTTCATGGGCATACAAACCAACAAGCATATTCATTCATCAGGAAGTCAAAGCATGTTAAGGCGGAGAGTCTCACCAGAGCCATGAGGCCAGCTCCAATGCCAATTAGTGGACTTGCTGCCACAATCACAAGCGTTAACTTCCATCCTTTCACAAACCCGATGCAGAAGCCGCACACAAAGGTGGTGAAACGCTGCATAAAAATGGCGACTTGGTCCGCAATGGCGTCATTGATCTTGTTGATGTCACTGCGTTGTCACAGACAGGACATGATGTAGTGAGCATACTACTTTTCTCCAGCAATGAGATAACGACCCTTCCTCTGCGACCAACTTACTCAGACATGCGCGTATTGAGCTCTCCCACCGAGGTGCAGTCAAACCAGCCGATCTCCATTCTCATCACTTTGCTGAAATAGATTTTCCTGATGAGCTGGATCTGCTTGGCAGCGGCATTCACCCACAGCGAGATCTGTCATACATAAGACTATTGAATATAAGACAGGAGCGAGTGCAAAAGAAAGCCGCACACACACACACACACACACACACACACACACACACACACACACACACACACACACACACACACACACACACACACACAAAACCAAGTGCATCAAAATGAATCACAACAATGCACCTGGAGTCATTCTCTTACAGATTTGATTTACTATTTTTACACTCGACCAAGGGTGGGAGAGCTAGTGCTCTGTTTTCGTAGATGGCATGTTTGCTGGAGGTCACCAAAGCTGGCGTATCCTGATTTTTGTTCAAGCGCAAGTGTTCACTGTTCATGCTTGCCTCTTTTTGGCGAACTGGTCAGGTGTGAGTCCTTGGAGATGACCCTGGCGAAGTGACAATTTGGTGACAGAAAGTCAGTCTAAATTCAGGCTTGCTCAGACCATGTCTGGATACTGGCACAACTGGCCTAACATGATTTTGATTAATTTGATCAAGGTGCAGGAAGACAGATTTTGATTACTATGGGTCAAGGGATTGGGGGGGTCTCAAGCTGCCCACATTACGGCACAGATTTGTTATTTACTCCCAAGCCAGTTTAGACCATGTCGGTCTGCCTGCAGTCCTATATAAATACTTGACACGATTCAAACTCCTAGACGAGCAAATCAGTTTCTTCTTGGGAAAAATTGGGCTGTCTCCACTCCACCATGGTTAGTGCATGACTAGTGCACTTCATTTAAAAGGGATGAGAAGAACCACTTTGATGGGACATGACTGAAGTCTGCTCTGTTCACTGCGTTGCTGTGTTCACCTCCCTCTGTTTGCAAAACTCTCAACTCCCTGTTTTACCCATCTCTACACCGATTTACTCGCCCCCCACGCGTCAAACATATGCTGGTCATGACAACAGAGCCCCTAGAGTTGAATATAATCAACCACTTTCTGATGGTGAGAAAGTGCTCCAAGATGGTACTTGACATAAGGTTGAGTGACAAACCTGAAAGTATCCCAAAATGAAGACGGCTGCTCCAATCCCGACATAATAGAAGGCAAATTTCGTCATTTCATATTCGATGTCAAGTATCCTGAAAATCAACAAATGCAGGCATAAAATGTATCATGCGCAAGTGACTGACCAAAAGACAACCTTGTGATCCCCATCACCAACATACCCGCACGGCCTGCTCCTCAACGGCGCAAAGGTTTCCCACTCTGAATAGTTGATAGAGCTCCAGTGTGACTGGTTCAAGCCTGCGAATGTGTCAGTGTAGTTCTTCGTCCACTGGATGGTGTTGTTCACGCACTCCTTTCGCTCGTCACTCAGCTCATTCAGCTCAATGTCGTACTCGATGAACGTGTCGGTAAGCAGGCCGAACACCAGCAGCATAAGGGGCTGGGCGGAGCCGTGCAGCACGGCGCATATGCTCCCCACCACCATCATCAGCACTTCATTGCATGTGGCAAAGCGGAACTGGATATGCGAATTCAAGAGGTTGCTTGCATGAGTGACACTGACACCGAAGAGCTGAAATATGAACGTCATCGTGTTTTTACCAGCTGAAAGAAGCCAACTCTAATTGCAGGTTGCTCCTTGGTCTCATGTCCTCTGTTTGGAAGAAAATACAAGTATGTTATTTGAGATGAAATATCAGAGCCTGACTTCAACTGCTCTACTCACTTCTCCCTCTCCTTGGAAGTTGACATGGTCCTGCGTGGAAACAAAACACGTGCACAGCAAATAATATGATCAGCAACAACTACTTCAGCAATTCTATACAATCTATAGGAAGTTGCTTAAAAGACATGACTGAAATTTATATTATGTCATTGCAGCAGAGACATTCACATTGTACACAGTGTTATGCACTACGTAGTCTTATGCATTAGCAAGCCATTAGGGAAGCTCACATGAGAAGCAATCCAATAGCCGTACCAACAAAATGGGCGATTTACTAAGAATGACACTATCCGAGAGATATATAACGTGTATATAATGTGTAATCGGCAGCAATGTATAACAACAATGCATTAGAGTAAGTGGTCTATTGTCAGCTACATAAGAGGGGCAAAATGTTGGCAACTCGGCACACCATCAGATTGCGTTAATTTGTCCAGGATTTTTGTGGCTCGCGATGTACATACAGTGCATGTTCAAATAAAATTTCATTTAAAGCAGCAGCAAAATGTACCCAAAGAGTGGCCCATACCAAAAAAAACACACAATCAGGCAAAATACGTACATGTAAGAGCCAGCCGGTTCTGCAAAATGTAGAAAACGTGTTACAATTTGATTGAGAGCTGACTGAAATCCTCTTTGATGACTGGATTTGATTTACCTTCGTCCGTAATCTCATAGCTGCGATTCTCCTGTCCAAGCTTTTTAATACTTTGCAATTTCACTGATCCGGATGGCATGTTGGCTCATCTCGAAAGAGCAAAATAAAGGTTCAGAATCTCCAAATCCAGATTTCTAATGATGAAACAAATCATATGCGACTATAAAGTGCTGAAGAAGAAGAGAAATTTACCAACATGTGTCCTTTTACAAGCAAACGTTTCTGGTCCTTTTGAGAATTTATCATGGGTCCACAGAACAGCCGTCAGGTCAAACGTTCCTTCAGAAACTCTTTGGTTCTTAAGTCCGCTATTTGAACATGCAGCCTATATGTCCCCCCAATACTATAGAGCCAGTTGTGGCTGCATGCCGCTTGTATATAGGAGGAGGACACACTCCTGTACCTTGGAAGGGATTCACGTGCTGATATTGAGGAGGGTTGGCCTTATTGGTACTCGGGGGGGTCATGGTGTTTTGTTTGAGGGTAAGTGTCCGGTCGGTTTGTGTCCCGTCGCCGTTTAGGTCAATGACCGCACGTGGAAACATTCCACCTGCAGAGGTTGTCACGCTGATCATTACTAGATTTGTCTGGTCCCCTTTGTAGGAACATAAGTGAGTATGATACCGCGTCACCTTTTTTGCAAATATATTATTTCATTCCTGTCGACAGTGTAAATGTTTTACTGCACAGCAGAAACATTTGGTGTAAGGCCAAAAATCTGCAAACACTCGGTCAAATGGTTTGCTTACCGAGGGCAAATAAATCAATACTATAACTTGTAAGCTTTATGCAGGATTATTATTATCCTACTGATAGGATAATGTTAGTAATGCTTGTCGGAGCTCACATTCACAAACGTGGGGGCTCAAAAATATTTGTACAAAGTGACATAACTACAGAGTCAAGTTTCTTCCTGGTGATTCTTTGCCGGGGTTTCAATTGCTGGTTGTTTTCTGGCCTACACTTTTGGCTTCAGTAAGTGAAAAAGAATGGTTAAGACAACTGGCCAACCATTTGGCTGTTGAAGAGGAAATAAAGACACAGCATTGGCATGAATTATACATTGAATTTGTTTTGTGACCAAGTTACTAACTTAAAACATTCATGTTTCAAATCATCTTTCTGGTATGAAATGAATGGAGCTGCTATTAATCTGTTCCGAGCCCCATAGAACACCAACATAAATTTGGGGAAGCATCAGGGAGTCTTATTATTAGGTGTCAGTATTAAACTGGAGAATTTTGATTTGGCAAAAATAAGTGAAATACAGACACAATTCTCTTTGTTGCTTGACAGTAAACTCTAATTTGAAGTGTCAACAGTTTGAAGAACACACATGGCCTCTTTTTTGAAGAATCGTTCTCTAGCTGCCAAACTACTGCTTGATGTGAAGTTTGCTCTGTCACCGTCTAAGAGTTCATTCATTCATTAATTTTCCGATCCGCTTATCCTCACAAAGGTCGTGGGGGAGAGGGGGGGTGCTGGAGCCTATCCCAGCTGTCATAGGCGGGGGACACCCTGAACTGTGTGTATACATATATATATATATATATATATATAAATTTTCCTTAAAAAAGTCTTGAGTTGCCTTTATGGTATGTTTTAAGTCGTCATGACATGTCTATGACATGATGCGGTATGCTTCTTGAGCTGTTGCTGGGTTTCTGTACTTAAATGTTGCCAGTGGTTTGTTGATCTGCTGGACTTCACACTGATCGGTCCACTAAAACAGTTGCCAGATGTCAACTCCAGACTTGATCTGCTGGAAATGGATGGATGCATCTGGCCAATTTGCCTCCTGGGGATCAATCATCCACCTACTTTGAAGTCCCTTAAGTGAGTTAATGTAATCTGAAACCTTTTGTGAAATTGTAAGTGTTTGACTCCAATCAAGATCCATTGTTGTGGTGCTTAATATGAAAATAAAATCTCCAAAATTAATCAGGACTTTATCGACCTAACTAAAGGCAAGTATTCCAGTCCATATTTCTGGCAGTGCCCTTTTCGTAGAAGTGCCTGTATTTTCTCTTCAAACAACTAACGGACTGCATACGCAGGAGGCAATTTTCTGGAGGTCATTCACTTCATGGAGTCCCGCTGCCTTCACTGACATCGGTACATGGAGCTATCACGAGCTCTCAAACCGGAATCCAGAATTCACATCAAAGTTCCCACAAGAACATGAATCTGAACTGGAACCACCATATGGTTTCTTAAAAACACAAGACGCTAGATTTTCCATGTATATGCTGACATTGTTTCGTAAATGTAATGATGGTTCAAAAGTCAAGGTAGAGCAAAATAACGCACACTGTGAAAATCATGATACAAATTTGTCAGGGAAGCAGGGCTCTGCGAGTGTGGGTGAAGGCACCACAGGCCACTTCAGACAACGGCAAATATCTAAAGTACACTACTGCCACCCAACGGGAAAAATTGAAACGACCTGAACTCCACCTGAACTAAAGTTCCAGCCGAAGAAAAAACGTGCTTCAAGCACGTTGCTGAACTGTTATTGACCAAAAGATTTAGTCTTGATCCCATCCAGAATACTGTATATTGTGTGTGTAACACATTTAATTTACCACATGGTTTTGGGAGAGCTGATGTCATATGTGGTAGCTCTATAGAAGTGTTTGGTTCCATTGGCCCCATACCCTGTACATGTATGTTCATTTGAGGATTTTTTATTTGTTGTCATTTATGCCCTTTTCTCATTGATTAATACGTTGATTGTGTATAATAAAATGCAAGCAATCAGTACAGTAAACTAATCTGTTTTAATGTAACAATTTCTTATCTGTTTGAATAAATAATTGAAACTCATTATAATTGAATAATTAAAATAAAAAATGAGACTGATTTTGTTATTTATACAACTAAAATAATGTAATTTGCATATATGTTTTGGCATTAAATAATTAAAAAAACCTTTTAACTTTTTTGGGGTTAGGGTTAGACTTATCGACGCATGACCCTGGCCCATCTCTCTCTCTCTCTCTCTCTCTCTCTCTCTCTCTCTCTCTCTCTCTCTCTCTCTCTCTCTCTCTCTCTCTCTCTCTATATATATA